TTTTAAAAAGTATGTAGAAAGTATATTTAAAAAATATTTACATGTTTTAAAAGTAAGTAAAATAAATTATTTTGTAAATTTAAATAAATTGTTTTCTGATAATAAAAGAAATTTTAATTTGAAACATAAAAAAATACTTTTAATATTAGAAAATAATTTATTCAGATTTATAAAATGATTTACTTGTATTTTATTTACTTTTAAAACAAGCAAATATTTATTTAAACCGTTTTTACATTTAAAAACACAAATTTTCTTCTTGTAAAGAAATCATTTGTTTATTTTTATATATACAGGGTGTCCCGCGTAAGACGGACCAAAAGAAAAATATAAGTAGAACACATAAAAGTGAACAAAAATTGTATAGGTCATTTTTCAAACAACCACGTAAAATTTCGAGATATTAATTAAAATAGTTGACAAATTAAAACGCGCGATACGACAGGCGGGACATACGGCTCGCAGCGATCGGCGAAGAAAATGGAAGAACGCACACGTACACGGACGCACACATGGAGCTACTCATTTCAGTATGCCAAACGGCCCACCTCTCTGGCCTAGATAGGCCCGCGAGCAATCATCAATTTTCTTCGCCGGCCGCGGCGAGCCGTATGTCCCGCCTGCCATGTCGCCGCGCTCTGATATGCTCAACTATTTTAATTAATATCTCAAAATTTTACGTGGTTGTTTGAAAAATGGCCTATATAATATTTGTTCACTTTAATGTGTTCTACTTATATTTTTCTTTTGGTCCGTTTTACGCGGGACATCTTGTATAGATATTTTAAATCAAAGAAATCACTTTTTTTATTTATAAATTCATAATTTTACAGCTTATTTTACAAATTTAAAAAAATATTTCTTTATATTTGTAACAGCCGAACTCCTCGTATCGGTTGTTTGTTGTATTGCCAGGAGTGTCGCTCGTCGGAGTCCGGGGTCGTTAATTGATTGACACCAGCAAGTAACAATAGATAAGTTTATTTGGATTTCGATATACAGAACAACGGTGTGAACCGCGTGTAGCTCGGCGCGAGACGGCGCCAGTAATCGGATCGCGTTTTCGATCGGCCGCGTCTCGCGGTTCGGTAGGCGGGGCGAATGACGCGAAGACGGCGTGTTGCGAGAGACAGATCGCGCTGATTTCGCGAATCGCGATGCGGACAAGTTGTGGCCGCGGGGGCTCGGCGGTAGAGTCGGTGTTTGCGTGTCACAGCACGCGGTGTGATATATCGGGCGATTCGCTTATCGCCGAAACGAAATAGGCAAGTATCGACAACGTTCGATCGAGCGCAGCGAACGCACTGGCTCGTGGACTTGCACGTAGACTCGGGATACGATCGGTACCGAGAAGGCTCGATCGGGTTTGCGAACACACGAACTCGTAGGCCGGTCGTTGGATCCAGATAGGAAGGCGAAGTCGGTGTCAAGAGCTCTCGACGGAGATAGCGAACACACAATCTCCTGGTGCCGGTTTCGCCTGTGCGGTTTCGGGGGTTAACAAAAAGGTAGAAACGATACGGTCGGACTCCTTGCTCTCCGCTCTGCAGCATCGAGTTCGGTCTGCGATCCGGATCGGTCTCCTCGCTTACTTCTCGGCCACGGTTTATATACCGTATCTTTACATTTGACGTTGTTGACGTCCCACGTCCGCGGTGTTGTTTTTAGCCTATGCTAGGCGCGGCGCATGTTTATGTTTGTCTTATTTGTTTGGCGCTTAGCGCCGTTTACAGCCGACGGTTGTTGTGTCGGCTATGTTAGTGACGATGCGTGTGAGGCATCGTCACATATTTATTATATATTTTCTAAAATTTAACAAATATTTGTTTAAATTAAGAAATTATATGTAACAAAATATATTTCTTTTATTTAAAGAATTCTTTTCTAATGTACATTACCAATTTAAATTTCGATTTTCTTATTTCTTTATTAATTTAATAATTATAAATAATTATATTTATTTTTTTCATGTGAAATATTTATAGAAATATTTACAAAATATTAATCTTTTGTTTACAATAAATATTATGTAAAATATTTAGATATTTAGATATTTCTATATTTTAATAATATTTTGAATATAGATTTTAATAATTTTTCTTCTCTCTTTATGTGTGTGTGTGTGTGTGTGTATGTGTGTGTGTATATTATTACACTCGCGAGCGCGGGGGAAAGAACTACAACAGTTTTTAAAAAAAAGAAGTAGCCTTTATTCTTTGAGCAGAAAAGAATACGCCGGGAAAACCGTTCTCTCTTAGCCAAAACGTCCGCACGATGCTGAAGCTGTTAAGAGACTCCCTTCAGCTCTCAAAACAAACAGCACACCGACTATTGCTAAGGATCATTTGTAAGCCGCGGATTTCAGGAGCGACATGAATACGGCGCCTCACAAATACTATTTAATCCATTCAGTCATAGACCACGTCCAATCATGGACACAATATCAGACTCACACGAACTTTATTTAATATCTCATATCGTACAACAGTATGTCATAGTAAGAATTCATTCTTATTCTAAAAAACTTAGTTCCACATTATTAGGACCACATCAAATAATGAGACAAAAGTTACATAAAACAATTCTTTTTTATAATATTTAATGCATATATACACGTGTGCAATTATATATATATATATAACTCATATATATATATATATATATATATATATATATATATATATGTATACATATATACCCAGCTAGCCAAATCTGCTCAAGCAAATTTTGCCCAACACTTGACTACAAATTTTGTTGCCAAAATGTCATCAAATTGGACACAATATCTGCTAAATCAAAGGTTGTTGGCAAATTGACGCCAAATACCGAGCAAGATTTATGCGGTACAGTTTGACGTCAAATTGATGCCAAATACTGAACAAAGCTTGGTGAAATCTAACGCCAAATTGACTCCAAATACCGACCAAGGTTTGTGCGGCACAGTTTGGCGCCAAACTTTGCGATATTTGGCGACAATTTGGCATCAGATTTTGTCACCAAGCTTTACCAACAAAACCCAAGCATATTGCGGACGCAGATGGCATCGGATTAAGGCACTAAAAAGATAGGTATTCTTGTCCGCCATTTTCATGCTATTCCCCCACTCCTTGCACTCCTGACGCTACGCCACTGAGCTGTCAGCCGAGGAAGCATGGTAGGTTGAGCATAGTAGTTACGAGTTCTAAGCTGATCGAAATTTTTTGTGTTTACGTGTCCAAATTTCTTTCCGTTTATAAAATGTCTTGCTGCGCTGCAATGAATTGTTCGAACAGACCTGAAAAAAGTGTTCGATTATTTCAATTTCCTATGGATAATGTTCGTCGAACGCAATGGGTACGTAATGTCAACAGGGGATCTTGGACACCATCGAAATCAACGTTCCTTTGCGAAGTAAGTACTCTCTTAATTTCCAATTTACGCAGCTTTTTCTGTTTGTTTAAATTCATAGATTGTTTTTTAAGTGTAGTTTAGATTTGTCGCTGTTTGAAATTACATGAATGTGAATGACTGTAATTAATCTTATATGCATTTTTCTTATTTTAGAAACATTTTGAAGAGTCGCAATTTGAGACTGATCGAGCAGATAGTTGAAAAAAATTGAAGCCAAATGCCGTGCCGACGCTATTCAATGTATTAAATTCACCTGTTGCAAATGAAATAGCTGATGAAAATTTAACAGCTGAAAATAATGAAAATATAAGTGCAGCCACTGAGAAAGATGTAAGTTTCTGTGATACATTACAATAAGATGAAAGAATTCTATATTTATATGTTTATTTTTTTATTTACACATAAACATGTATAAATATATAGTATAAATATGTATACTTTAATTCATTTCAGAGCTCTATAGATGCAGAAAAAAATGTTGAGCCAGTTACAGAAGAGAGCCTTTTGTTGATGTTGGCAGAAAATCAGTTTTTGAAGCAGCAGTTGGAGAGAATCCACGCAATAATAAGATGCCATGATCATCACTCAGCAGTTGCCACATACCTAAAGAATTATAATGTTGAATAGTTCAATCTGTATATATGTATATGATATTCTTAATGCTGTGTGCACTTATATTAATTGTATATGATACATTTCTTTTTTTATTCAATATTTGTAACATAATGAAAAACTTCAACAATAATATGGAAATAAAATGAAAAGTAGAAACAAGAGATTTTGAAAAATTGTTTATATTTCAAACAAAAATTTCTATTAATATTTAAAAACATAACATTCTTATTTGAAAATTATGATTTATAACTTTAGAAATAATATTTAAAAACATATCATTCTTATTTGAAAATAGTGATTTATAACTTTAGAATTAATATTTAAAAACATAACATTCTTATTTGAAAATTGTGATTTATAACTTTAGAATTAATATTTAAAAACATAACATTCTTATATTTGGAAATTATGATTTATAACTTTAGAATTATTAACTAGAAACATAACTTTCCCTTAAACTCTTAACAGTTTCAAACTCGCGGATCCATAAACATTTTTCCGTTTCCTACTGTTTCCTGAAAAATTCTTGATGCAGTAAGATCGAACATCAAAAAAATGTTTCACAACTTTTTTTTACATCACAACAATTTGGAAAAACAATATTGGCGTTTTCTACCAGACGTTCAATAAAAGTAAAGTTTCCGTATCTCAAGATATGAGTCCTATAAGTTTTGAATACATAATCGCAATGCAGTATTATGCTAAACGTTTCTAAACATGGCTCTTTTAGGCCACCGCAGTTTAATGCATTGGTATACTGTTTTGTTTTTCGAATAAAATCGTTATCTAGTAAATTCTTGCGCAACATAAATGTTATGCAATGTTCGCAAATGTTCTTCATCATTGCATTCGTAGTACAACCGGCTGAATGAAATAAATTTTTTGCGTCATAATCCGAAACAGCGCTGATAAATTTATTAAAAAAAAACATAGATATTTCGATTTCTTTGAGACGCAATATGTTTGTGTTATCTACGATAATTGGAAGTATCGAAGACGCTTTTGCGGAATTAGACTTCTTTTTAGTGTTATAAAAATCCAGTAAAAAGTTGTCCGAATCATTACAATAACTTGTATGTTTAACATTTGATACAAATTGGGACACACTAATGGTTTTTACAGCACGTAGGCATTTTAGCGCAGTTGGCATTTGTCCTTCTTTGTTTCTTATTTGCGAAAAAATATTTTCTGTCCCATCCTGCGTAAAACGATGTCCTAATACAAAATCAAATCCTAAATAATAATTCTACGATGTCGCAAAAAGATAATGTTGCCAATACCATCGCATAGTTTAAAGGCTTCCAGTGTTTCTCAAAAATAGTTTCACGGAATGTGTCTACAATTTTATGGAGAAAAATATACTTTTGATCGCAATTCCTCAAAGTATTAGGTGGTAAACTTAGTTCCTGCGGTGTTTTTGTTTAAAAAACTCATTTATTTCGACATCAAAAACAAAAAATACATTAATCGAAGTATTTTCCCTCGCTAGCTATACATTTTTCCCGTTCTCTTTCGAGCAACGCGTAGATTCCGCGACGATAGAACGATTGGTCTTTTGATGCAATCTATTCGTCGATCCATTTTCGCACATCCTCGTAATTTCTGAAGTGTGTATCCACCGTGCTGCATCGACCGGAACAAGTAATAGTCCGAAGGAGCTAAGTCTGGTGAATACGCTGGGTGCGGGAGAACTTCCCACTCGAGCTGCATCAGTGTTTCTTTGACGGCTTTGGCAACGTGTGGTCGAGTGTTGTCGTGCAAAA